ATTTTTAATAGTAATCATGTGGTTTCATATGAAATCATGTGATTGACAAATCAGAATCGTAAAAACAACAAATTTGAGTATTGTAAAAGTCAATGTAAATTTAGTATTATGACGAGTTACTGTAAATGGCCGCTTACAAGACGATAGTAAATCACCAACTATCACTTGGGTCTATCGTAAACTACTGACATTTACAACGTACCCAGGTGTTTTGACAGGAGATATAAATTGAAGATAAATATATAATCGATATTATAAACATAAAATCAGAATTTTATACCCTCGTTAGAGCTGTTAAAAAGCTTGCGGATCCAGTTTTTGAGATTTGCTCCAAGATTAAACGGCTCCACAAAAAGCGGGTTCATGTAACTAATGAGTGATTTTTTGCCGAATGAGACGTGTTTAGACTTAGCGAATAGCGTTTCGGGATAGTTTAGACTAATAAATAACTGAATTTATTTCGTTATTATTTTTAATTTGATTTATTTAATACAACTACAGCGATGTAAATTAAAATAATTTGTATTATGAAATCTAAAAATCAAAAAATATTTTTGCATTTTTAATAATTTTTGCATTATTTAAAAGGTCGATAGTTCGTATCAATGATAAAATTACTATTTCTAATTATGAATTGTTAACAGTTAAACATTAATATGTTAATAATTTCTAAGCAATTATTATAATTAATAAATGAATTATCCAATATGCATAGAACATCTTCGTAAATTTGCAGGAACTATTATTGATTAATTCTTTATCGGGGTGTAGAAGTTTCGTACTGTGTTTTGTTATTGAATGTACAGTACAATATGTTAAGTCTTTTAATATCGTTACCGAAAGCCATTTAAAATTACTGCGAAGGTAACCCTGTTATCGAGGATTCAAGTTTATTGCTTACCGGACTCACTAATTTGTTAGGTTTGTGACCGGTAAATTATATAATTTTAAATAAGAATTTTACTAACTATAACCGGCGGTGATCATCACCGGTGTATAATTAGCCAATAAAATTGCAGGATCAGGTGTAACGTGCAAATTAATTTGTGTAACCAAAATAAAGATTTTTTTTAAAAAAATGCCGATATCTCAAGAATTCGCCTATAAAACTATCTTCGACGTTTTAACAAAAAAAATTTCTCGCTAAATTTCGCATATATCTAACACCTTGCTAAAATCCCAGGCCTTACTCTAACCCTAAAGTAAATGAAATGAAATATTTTTTTAGTTTATCATTATTGGCTAATTATGCACGGTGATGATCACTACTAGTTATTTTAAGTAAAAATCTTTAAAGAAATAATTTATTACATAGATAAATATAGTATAATAAAAAAAGGTTTTACTTTAAAAGAGTAATTAATTTATATATGCCTTACATTTGAATTTGCGATGTTAATTAAAAATAATAACATTATATTGTATATATCGATGTAACTATTTACAAAGTGCATATTAATTAAATATTCAATTATATAAAAGTTTTTAAGGTTTCTCACAATATTCTTTTTTTTCAACTCATGATTTTATTCTTTTGACTCACAAGTTTTTCATGCTCAATCCTTAAAAGTCTTTCTTGTTCTTCAATAATAATGAATTCACTCGCAATTAGAGTTTTTAGATTTTGATAACAGAGATTTAATTGTTTACAAAAAAATAATATTCAAGTCACTCTCGTTATAGTATAATAAAGATAAATCCCAAACCAGTCTATATAAAAATCTTTTCAATATAATGAATTTACTAGTAACCTCCCGATATTATGAACTTTTTAAAAATTTTTACTATGGAACGGATCACTTCACTATAATGAAAGTGACTTGTACCATATAACTTACTAGTTTTTTTTAACAGGTTCAGTAGTTTTTTGTAAAAGTGATTATTCTTAATAAGTTTCTGCTATATTTGTTTTTTTAACTTGTGTAATAATTAGGGTTGTTAATGAGTTAGATTAGGTTGATTTGGGTTGACCCAATCTTCAACCCACTTTACTAAATTAGACCTTTTGCTCCAGGTTGCTCCAGGTTGCTTCAAATTTAAAAACATAATTTTAAACCTACTCTAATTTGGGTTGGATACTTCAGAGTAAGCTACTCCATTAACAACTCTAGTAATAATAAAAGTAGTGAATTTAAAAGTCATACTATTTTTTTGAAAATTCTATTTCAAAAATTTTTTCAATCAAATGAATTATAAAATTTGAATTATATTGTACAAATAATATCAAATCATCAAATATACAAAAAAATCTACACTTTACAAACTCAACTAATATAAATTTTAAAATTTTATGTTCTGTTCAGAGTTCATTATAATGAAGTTTATTATCATAAGTTTCGACTATAATTAGATTTATAAACAAATCTGTATTTATAAACTAAATTAATACAGATAAATAATTTGAACGAGATAAAAAATTTTAAGTCGGATTAAAACAAAAAAAAAAACAAACTAAAAACCACAACAAAACCAAAATAAAACAAAAAACAAACCAAGATTTTTATTTTTATTGTTATTTAAAAAAAAATGACAACTTCAAATTTCTCTATCGAAGATTTGGCCAATTCTTTAATCGGAAGGCTTGATCGTTGAAGGATATTTCCTCTCTATTACAATAATCTGGAAAGTTTCATATCACCAACAGTTCGTGTAGGCGACCAAGACGTCCACCAAATATGTTTTTATTATGCAGAAAGAACGTATATCAAGAAGCTAAAAGATGAGGATCTTGCAATATGAAAGTTATTAGTAAAGTAACAGGAATTCTTTGGCGAAATGCATCTCTAGAAGAGAAGGAAGTTTATGAGAGATTGGCGGATGTTGTTAATGAAATTCATGTTCAACGTCATAATATATTATATCGACAATATCAACAACAAGAAGTGCTTGGTGACGTTTTACCATTATCACAATCATCAACATCATGTATATCCACACCTTTAAGACCAATGGCTTACAAGCCCTATCAGATCCCTTCCCCTCCATTTTATAATGGTAATTTGGAAAGGTCTTGGCAAGCTCCTTCTT